TACACTAGATTGAAAGGAGTGTCCTGGGTCGAAGAATGAACTGTTGTGTGATATGACCATAGCACTCGGGGAAGCTCCTCCACCCATGAAGTCCTTGAGTCTTGGACACGCTTCTTCAAACCTGAAAGAATTACCTTGTTGGCCGACTCCGCCTGGCCGTTAGACTGTGGGTGTTCAACGGAAGTGAATGCCAATCGGATGCCGACCTCTTTACAAAAGTCACGGACTCTCGCACTTGCAAACTGTGTCCCGTTATCGGAAATGAGCATTTGAGGGACTCCATACCTGCACACCACGTTCTTCCAAAGAAACACTCTAACCTTCTCTGCTGAGATGGTTGCAACTGGCTCCGCCTCTATCCATTTGCTGAAGTAGTCAACAGCTACTATCAAGAACTTCATTTGCCTTACTACGATCGGAAATGGACCGAGAATATCAATCCCCCACTTGTGGAAAGGCCAGGGGGATAATATTGAATGTAGCCGTTCAGCTGCGGAATGGTGTAGGGTTGCGTGTCTCTGGCATCCGTCACACTTTTGGACCCAATTGACGCAGTCGTTCCTCAAGGATGGCCAAAAGTAACCTGCTCGGGCAACTTTATACACCAGAGCTCGGCCTCCGATGTGACTTCCGCACATTCCACTATGTATCTCATCCATCACTCTCTGTGCTTGCGACATGATCAAACACCTTAAGAGAGGGGAGCTAAAGCCCCTTTGATACAGTCTTTCGTTGATGACTACGAACCTGGCCGACTCCTTTTGCACCAACGATGCCTCCCTTTTGTCTTCCGGTAATTCCCCCCGAGTTATATATGCGATGTACGGTCCCATCCACGAATTAAGCTCTTCCTGGATGAATAGGACGTTCCCTTGCGCCTCGTTTATACTTGGTTGTGCTAGCGTCTCTTGGATAACTGACCGAGTAGCTCCTGGCTTCTTCGTGCTTGCAAGCTTAGAGAGCAAGTCGGCCCTCGAATTTTGCTCTCGTGGTACATGGTTAAGTGTGAATTCTCGGAAATTTTCCGATAAAAGCTTAACCTTTTCCAGGTACTTAGCCAGTTGAGGGTCCTTCGCCTGGAAGGTGCCGGCTACCTGCCCCGTGATCAGCTGGGAGTCACTTCGTGCTGATAAACTCGTCGCCCCCATTTCCTTCGCCAATTTCATACCGGCCAACAACGCTTCGTACTCGACCTGGTTATTGCTGGCTCGGAACTCAAATCGCAATGATTGTTCCAACAGAATTCCTCCCAGTCCTTCCAAGACGATCCCCGCTCCACTTCCTCCAAGGTTCGAGGCTCCATCCACCGATAGGATCCACTGTGTCTCTTCAATATTGCCTTCCTCGGCCAGTGAGGTTAGTTCCATCACGAAGTCAGCTAGCGTTTGAGCTTTGATTGCTCCTCTCGGCTCATACTTGATGGAATACTCTGATAGCTCTACAGACCACTTCATCATCTTTCCTGCCAGGTCGGGCTTCTGTAGTACTTGTCTAATCGGATGATCTGTTCGGACTACCACCTCATAACTCTGGAAATAATGTCTCAGCTTCCGCGCTGTAACCAGTATTGCAAGAGCTAATTTCTCGATCTTCTGATAACGAACCTCTGCTCCTTGTAACACCCTGCTAACAAAATAAATGGGCGATTGGGAGTTACCTTTTTCCTGTACTAAGACTGCACTGATGGCGCTATCGGATGCCGACAAATACATCAACAAAGGGAGATCGGCCTGCGGTTTGGAGAGGATTGGCGGTGAGGTGAGAGCCTGCTTGAGTTCGCCGAATGCTCTTTCACATTCATCTGTCCACGCAAACCGGTCGTTCTTCCTTAAACATTGGAACAAGGGGAGCAACTTGTCCGCTGCCTTTGAAAGGAACCGAGAGAGGGAGGCCATCCTCCCTGTCAATTGCTGGACCTCTTTTACCATCGCGGGACTTCTCATACTGATTATAGCGGAGCACTTATCAGGATTTGCCTCAATGCCACGATGAGTCAGCAAAAAACCGAGGAACTTTCCTGCGTGGACGCCGAAAGAGCACTTTGCGGGGTTCAAGTGGAGCTGGTAGCGTGCTAAGGGGTCGAACGACTCTTGCAAGTCGGAAAAATGCCGACATACGCTAGGCGACTTGACAACCATGTCATCCACGTATGCCTCTACATTCCTTCCTAGTTGATCGGCCAGTACCTTGTCCATAAGCCTCTGGTACGTCGCTCTTGCATTCTTCAAACCAAAAGGCATCACCTTGTAGCAGTAGGTGGCTTGGTCGGCCATGAATGCTATTTTATCCTCGTCGGCAGGGTGCATCCTGATCTGATTATACCCCAAGTACGCATCCATGAAACTCAATAATTCGTACCCCGATGCATTGTCGACTAGACAATCTATATTGGGCAGCGGGTATGAATCTTTTGGACAGGCTTTGTTCAAATCGGTGAAGTCCGTGCACATCCTCCAGTTTCCGTTGCTCTTCCGTACCATTACCACATTCGCTAGCCAAGTCGGGTATTGGATTTCCCGAATGTGACCAGCTGTCAATAATTTCTTCGTCTCCTCGGCTATGGCCCTTTTTTTATCCTCCCCAAACTTTCGTCGTTTTTGAATCACCGGCTTCGCCTTGGGGTCGACCATGAGATGGTGACATAGGAAGTCGGGATCAATGCCTGGCATGTCGCCAGCACCCCATGCAAAAGCCGACACGTTGCTCTTCAATACGGTCAGCAATCCTTCCTCATCTTCTTTAGCCAAAGACACACCAATCTTGACCGTTTTTCCCTCGGCCAAGCTAACCTCCTTCACATCTTCTGCTGGGACTGGTCGGGAATCGAAGTGAGTCATCCTCGGATCTAACTTGATTGACTGGACCCCCCGATCAACCTGTGTCACATATAACTGTCTCCTCGCCCTCAGGCTATCCTCGTAGCACTTCCTTGCAACTTCCTGATCAACACGGAGGACCCCAACTTTTCCGTTGGGTAAAGGGTACTTCAGCTTCAAGTGGGGTGTGGAGACAACTGCTCCCAACTTATTCAATGTCGGTCGTCCAACTAACATGCTGTAGGACGACTGAGGATTGACCACCAGGTATCGGACAGTGATAGTCTTCATGTGGTCTCCCTGGCCGAAAGTTGTCTCCAAGTCGGCGTATCCCCTAGCTATTACTTGATCACCTGCAAAACCAACTAATGTACCTGCATATGGCATGAGACGGTCAGTCGGAATTTTCATCCCGACGAAGGCTTCCCAAAACATTATGTCCGCCGAGCTGCCTTGGTCCACCAGTACACGTTTCACGTTGTAGCCCATGACTATCGTCGAGACGACTATCGGGTCATCCTCATGTGGGGACACACCTTCGAAGTCGGCGCCGAGAATGTGATAGGTGGCCGAGACGGCCTCACCCAGTTCGAGACCGATAACACCGACCGAGAATATCTCTTCCGTGCAGCTGACGTCGGGCCCCCTCCAGCGAATCCCCCCGCTATAGTGTTAAAGTCTCCATGGACGGCTTGCTGGTGAGTCTCTATACTTTTTTCTGGAGGATCTCTCGGGGGAGACCTCCCTTCACGCCTTCCTCTCCTGGTGTCTTCTCCTTCACGCCTACGTCGCCTGTCGGACGGGCCCTCCTCCTGCTTCCCTCAATGAATTTTTTTAAACGTCCCTCCTTAATAAGGCGCTCAATTTGCCTCCCGAGAATGAAGCAATTCTCCGTAGTGTGTTCATGAGTCCGATGAAATTCACACCAGTCGGTTTTGTAAGGTCCCAACTAGCGGTCGGTTGCCGCTGGGAATTCGAAAAGTGACGCGCTGTTGATGTCATGCAGTATGTGCCGCCTGGGAACGTTGAGTGGAGTAAACTTCTCTTCTTCCTTGTTACGTGCCCACTCGCCTCTCGGTCGACCAATGTGATCGGCCTGCTGGTAGTTGCCTTCCTTCGTGTTATAACGATCGCGTCGCTTGCTCCAATCCGATCGCAGTCGGAGATGCTTGTTAACCTCCTTGTTGCTCCCCCTTGCTTCTCGGTTCTCCGCTGCCCTTTTAATAATCTGGTTCTCCTCCGTCTTGATGTGACTCAAGGCGAAAGCCCGCACCTCCGACATCGTTTGACAATTTGCTTTTTCAAGCGCGATATCGAAAGCCCCGGACCTTAAACCCTTCTGGAATGCGATGACCGCCATCCTTTCATCCAGCGATGCTATCCTCAAGGCGACCTCATTAAACCTTTGCAGAAAATCTTTCAGCGACTCCTCATGTTGTTGCTTGAGGTCAAACAAATTCGACGTGATCGGCGGCTTCTTTTTGTTAGCGGCGAACTGCGCCATGAAGAGTCGGCTAAAAACATCAAAGTCGGTGATCGATCGATCAGGAAGACCGCTGAACTAGTCAAGCGCCGCCTTCTTGAGTGTGCCCATGAACAATTTGCAGCGAACCTCCATGCTCCCACCACAGATCAACATTTGAGCTCAGAAGTCCGTCAAATGCTGATTGGGGTCCTGCGTTCCATCAAAAGGCTCAACCTGTGGTATCCGATGATCCCTAGGGATCATCTCGGCCTCTATGGCTTCCGAGAATGGTCGAAAGTCTCTAGGGACCTCCAGCATGACGTCCTCCTCCACAGTCCTGGTACTGGCCGCTATTCTGGCTTGCATCTCGTCCGCTCTCCTCCTGATCTCTTCATTCTCGCGCTGAATGGCCTCCTCTCTCTCCCTAGACCGCGCATTTTCCTCCCTTAAGCCATTGATCATGGCCATCATCTCCTCCATGGTAGGGGGTTGTGAGTTGTTGTTGTTATTGCCGCCTCTCGCCATGGTAAAGTGTAGGTCTTTCTGTATGACTTGGGGCGTAGGAAAAGTTTCACTGTAGCCCCACGGTGGGCGCCAAAATGTTCCGGCCAAAGGGTGGACTAGGGTTTTTTCCTAAATCGTGCCTTAGAGCGAGAGCATTCAAAAGTGTAATCTGCCGTGCCTAGACTTAGGGTTTTAGGTTTTATACTTCGTCGCCCATGGACCTCATGGGCCCCGAAAACGTAGGGATTTCCTCAATCGTTCTTGCTAAGTGTCCGCGCAATGCGTGAGGATTAATCTAGTCGGTCTTTAACCGACTAGGCCTGTGCCCTGGGTCCACTCGGGTAAACGCCAAGTGCCTCCTTATAAGCGAGTGGATCCGAGTTAGGGTCGAGTCGGCTTGCACACCAAGGATCTAGTCGGGTACGCGCCGAGTGACCCCCTTATAAGCGAGTGGATCCGGGTTAGGGCCGAGTCGGCTTGTACACCAAGGATCTAGTCGGGTACGCGCCGAGTGACCCTCTTATAAGCGAGTGGAGTCGATGTAGGAGTAAATCGGCTCGCATAGAGATGTTAACTCGGTTGTAGGCCGAGTGGTTCTCAGTCAAGACGAGGGTCAAGTCGGATTCTGACCAGGATGGTACAATCTCATATTATAATAAATAATTACACATAAACAATATTAAATTTTTTTAATATAATTAAATTAAAAATAAGTATTAAATTAAAAATGAGAACGAAAACGGGTACGGGTACAGGTATGGGACGGGTAAGTACATACCCGTACTCGTACCCGATTTAATATATCAAGTTTTACTTGTACCCGTACCCGTACCCGGTCAAACCAGGTATTCTCAATCAAATCGAGGCGGATTCAAGTATTACTCACAAGTACGGGTATATCTGCCATCGCTACTCTCGTACACCCTTACGCACCTCTCGCTTCCACTCCGACTCCAGGGTCCCTCACACGAACCAAACCGAACTCTTCCTTCAAAATTTTACGCTTTTACTACTAGCTCCTACTTACTTTCTATACGCACCCCCAACAAGCCCAGCCCAAGCTTGTGTTGCGAAAAGGCTCAGCCTCGGTCTCGAAACTTCGCTCGCTGTTTGTGCGACCCTCGTCACTCTCCAGGTCTCCAGGTCCGCGACAACCTCCGTCGCCTTCACTGCATCGCGATTAGCGAGAGATCGCGCCACCTCTTTCTGCATCTCCTCCATCTTCTCACTCTTCTCGGCGCCGTTGCTCCGTACTTCCGCCGTCAGCTTCTTGATCTCCTCCTTCGTTGTCGCATTCTCGCTCGCCAATTCGTCTCGCTCGTGCTGCAGCACCGCGATCAGGTAATCCCCCATTCCCCTGTTTCAATTGTGTATTTGCATTGCAATATATGTTGTTAGATTATTTTTTTATTAGGTTTAGGACTTTATTGAACTAAATTGATAATGCATGCAACTGTAGAAATATGAAGATAAAGTTGATAAACTATTAACCATTGATAGTGTTGCCGAACCAGTGTACCATAAGAATACTACATGGCTTCAATAAAAATGATATGTTGTAGTTATAGAACAGAACAATTGTGAGGACTTTGCCTTGTATAGCAAAAGCGGTCTTGTTATGTAGAGTCCAAGAAGGGATGGAAAGCATCAAACTTCGTGTTATGTATATTGGGGTTCAGTTGGCTGAAATATTTCCTTATCCCTTTTAAGTACAATTGGTGTGGCTAACTGACTTTATTAATATCGATGAGATCAAAGGGGAAGTTGAGAATTTGGCTTTGAACATGAAACGGACATGTTCTAGCCAGTTAATGAGGAGGTATGCTGAACTGTAAATTTCTGATTTTTTTTTGCAGCACAGGAAATTCTTGGTGGAACTTGTTCTAGACCTTTTTGCAGGTCACATTTTCATTTTTTGTATTCATATTCTTTCAATATTATGCTACTGGCCAAAGAATACTTAAGTTACAAATTAAAATATCTTTAAGCAGAAGAATTTGTGGATTCATCTTATCAAAGGATATGGATACAAGGCTTCTAGAAGGAAGCTAATATCATTTCTGTTATTTTGTCTTTTTTGACAAAATCAAGTTGTAATCTTTTTTTATTCTTAGCTGATCCCTTTGCACAAGTGTCTTGCTTTTATTAGTTCATTGCTTTGATATTTTTTTACGGTTAAGCCTAGAATAGGTGTACTGCTTGTATATATACAAACCTTTTGTATTGGTTTCAAAGAGTGAGAGAGAAATATTCATTCTCATATTATTCCCTTCCTTCTTCTCTCTTGATCATCCTTTTTTGTTTTCTATTATGGTATCATAGCTCTGATTTTCAGGGCTCTGATTGCTACTTTTACCCATGGCTGAAGTTGTTCCCTCACAAGACCTTAGTTCTCCTTACCATGTCAGTTCATCTGATAATCCTTCCTTTCTCATTGTCCCGAATGTTCTTGAGGGACCAAACTATCATCATTGGTCACGTTCATTTTGAATGAGTCTCATTTCAAATAACAAGATTAGTTTCATTGATGGAACCATAGAAGCTCCCACTCATACTAGCTCATTCTTTCCAGCATGGAAGAGAGCCAATATGTTGGTTGTTTCCTAGATGCTCAAGGTTGTTTCTCCATCCATTGCACAGAGCATTATCTATATGGACAATGCCTTCGACATATGGAATGATTTAAAGGACAAGTTCTCACAAGGAGACATGATTCGCATTTCTGATTTTCAGGAGATGATTTCTTCTTTCAAACAAGGTGAGTTGAGTGTTACAAACTATTTCATTGAGCTCAAAATTCTTTGGGATGAGCTTGATCTTTTGTGCCCACTACTTGCTTGTTCATGTGCCTTTAAATGCACCTGTAGTGCTCTTGGGAATGTTGCTAAATATGAAGGACAAGACCAGGTTATTAAATTTCTTAGGGGGCTAAATGATAACTATTTGACTATTAGAACTCAAATTCTATAGATGGATCCCTTGCCATCTTTGAATAGAGTTTTCTCTCTTGTTATACAACAAGAGAGAAAAATTTTTGGTGATCAATCCAAGGCAATGGCTATTACTAGCAGAGGAGGCTATAAAACCAACACATCAAGTTATGGAAGAGGTTCTGGTTATGGAATAGGAATTTATGGAAGAGGAAATGCTTCTAAAATTTGCAGTCATTGTGGAAAGACAGGACATACCATTGATATGTGCTATAGAAAGCATGGCTTCCCACCTCATTTCAAGTTTAAAAATCAGAACCATGGCCAAAGTCATGCTAATGCAGTATTTTAGACTGCAAGTTCTAATGATGATGGTGAGCAGAATCATGAAGGTTCAAAGTCAGAATTACAACCTCAGCAAATTAGTTTTACTCTTGAGTAGTGTCAAACATTGTTAGCCCTTTTACAACGGTCTAAATCCACTGAAAATGTTTCAAATCAAGTCTCTTATTCCTTCTAACATGTCAACACACTGGTAATAAATCTCTTTCTTCCTTTAGTTTTTGGATACTTGATAGTGGTGCCACTAACCACATTTGTTCATCTTTGACTCATTTTACTTCATATCATCAAATTAATCCTATTTGTGTCAAGTTGCCAAATGGAAATCAAGTCACTGCTAATTATTCTGGAAGTGTTTTTCTCAATCAAAATCATGTCATACAGAATGTTTTGTATATTTCGTGCTTCACTTTTAATCTTCTTTCGATAGCCAAGTTAATTGATAATTTTATCAGGTGTGCTTACCTTTGACTCTGATGGTTGTCACATTTGGGATAAGAGCTCCTTGAAGATGATTAGTTCAGCTAAGATGCAAGATATGCTTTATATACTCAAGGTCCCATTTTATCACAAACTTCAAATCAAACCCACCAAATTTACACATACTATCAATACTGTCAATTTTACTGCTAGTGATCTAGAAACCCTTTGGCATTTTTGGTTAGGGCATGTTTTAAACAAATGTATTGATGTTATCAGGAATAAAATTCCTTTTGTTAAATATAACAAACCATCTATTTGTGATATTTGTCATTATGCAAAGCAAAAGAGACTTCTTTTTCCTATTAGTACATCTAAATCTCAAAAATGTTTTGATCTGATTCACACTGATTTGTGGGAACCATACTCAATACCATTAATTCATGCTCATAAATATTTCTTGACCCTAGTTGATAATTGTTTAAGGTACACATGGATTTTTCTTTTAAAACAAAAATTTAAAATTGTCAAGACTTTGGAAAATTTTATTGTTTTTGTTCAAACACAATTTGAGACAACAATAAAAATCATAAGAAGTGACAATGAGGCTGAATTTTTCATGACTAATTTCTTTGCCAATAAAGGGATAATGCACCAAACCTCATGTGATGGAATCATGCATAGGAGGGCAAGAGGTGATACCTTAAAGGAACCAAGAGGAATGAACTAGACATGAGGATTTGGGCCAGATAAAGCCCAATGGGCCCGATGGGCTTGGAAGGCCCAAGTTGCTCCTCACATGGGCCACAACTTGTGATAGTCATTTTCTTCTATTTTGTATATATTATATTAATACAGGTTTCATATATTTTGGTCTTGTATTTGGACTACATAGAGTAGCATTTTTGGGCCATAGGCTTAATGGGCCTAGTTTTGGGCTTCATGGGCCTTTAGGCTTTTGGTACCCAATATTGCGCTCATTTTATTTCTTTTATTATTTCCTAATGTTTGTATTTGGTTAGCCATTGTATTTAGGCCATTAACATAGGAATATTGAAGGAATGTTAAAATAGGTCAAGAAGCTTAAATCTAGGTTTCATTTGATAGTCATTTAAGATGCATTTAGATCACATGTTTCTTGTTAAGCATGCTGAACATGTGCACCTCCTAATACACTTCAAATGTCCCCTAAATGAAACTTAGATGCATGGCAGCCCCAAATTCACAAAATAACACATGGAGCCTTGAATTTGAATTCAAAATTTCCATTTGAATTTGAATTTTTGGCACCAACTGTGGCTAGTGAAGTTGGTGCCACCTAACTTGCTTCTAGGATCTATAAATGCTTGTTCCTTCACTCTTTGTAAACACTTCGAGCATAATTGAGAATTCTTCTGAATACATTTCAGATTTCTCTCCCCAAAGTCACCTAGGTTCTTATTTTAGCTTTAGGAATCTTACATTTCTAAAGCCAAAAACTGTGAGCCTTCTTTTGCACTCCTAGCTTGAGTCCTTCCATCTTAAGATTGGTTCATCCGAACCTAGCTTCCTTCATCTCCTTTCTTTCCAGAATTTTGGACTCAAAGATTAAGATCATTTGCGGAACCAAGCAAGGAAGATTCAACATTTCATCTCACCTACTTGGCTTCATCATTTTTGGTATCAAGAGCAAGGTTGAAGTCTTTGAGGTTAGGTGATCCTTTTCACCGATTGATTTCTGAAAAATTGAGTGTTTAAATTGTCATTTGAAGTTTCCTTTGATTGGATCTAAGTTTTGAAAATTGTTTTTGATGGATCCAAGTGGTGTAGTTGCATTTTGATTCAATCCGCAACTATACTAGAGTCTAGGAATCTACTTGTGCCAATTTTTGTTTTGATCGAGTCTTGATTCATTTTATCTTCTTTGATTCGGTCATTTGAGTCAATTTGCTTGTGTTTTTGAATTTTTGAATCTTTGAAGTTGTCTAGAGTCATGTGTAGTCTTGAAATTGTCTATAAAATTCAAGATATGCTTGGTTGAACTTGTTTGAATTTGATTTGATTAATTTTTCAAGTTTGGCCGAGACTTGTTTAGCTTTGGTGCTTTTAATTTTTCATACTTGAGTTCATGTCCATTAGTAGATTATTAATAGATTCTTAGAGTTAGGTTTCTATTATGTCTTCATAAATTTTCATGACCAAAAATTGCTTCCAAAATTTCATCAATTCTAGTGTAGTGAACATATGTGATTTCTACTCCTAGTGCACATGTTTCTTAATTGGTCTTGAATCTGGACATTTTGGCTGCCGGAAAATAGAGGAAAAATAGAGAAAAGAAAAAGAAATCAAAGGATTTAAGAGCAAGAAAAGAAACATTGCAAAAAGGATCAAAACCAAGGACCAATACTAGTGCACTAGACCTTGAAATTTCACTCAAGTTTCTTATCTTGATAGATCCGGTTTACACTTTCAAATTGCTGCGAGAATTTTTGTGTAAAAGGCATACAACTTCTCTGAATTTGTGTATCAAAATTAGAAGAACAAAAGAGTTTTAAAAAAAATCAAAACAATTAAAAAAAAGTCGAGAAGGATTCCAAGAGAAAACAAACATCAAAGTTCTTGAAAATTGGATCTAGCAACTTGTAGTCATCTTTAATTCTTCTTCACAATTTTTTTTTTGTTTTCTTAATCCACTCTTGAACCATTCTAAGATCTTTCTCTTTGAGTGCTAGCCATTTCTTGAGAGTCTTAATTTTTAGTTTTGTGTCTTTATTGGCTTTCTTTGAGTTTAGTCAACTATTACATATTCTTTGTTGGTATAAGCTTCCTAATTCTTTTCTTGTGCTTGTCAAGTTTTCAATTAAAAAAAAATCCAGTGCTAGAAGTTGTGCTAAACTCTTGCAAGGAGTACAAACATTGCTCACAAAAGCTAGAAGGAAAGGATTGCTAATACTAAGCCAAAGGACTTGAAATCAAAATTTGACCAAACTTTGTCCTAGCCTTCTCAAATTTCCTTCACAAGAGTGATCACACCTTTCCATCATTGTGAGAAGCCAATTTTCTCTAATTTGTTTGTTCAATTGTGCAGGTCAAGAAAATTCAAAAAGAAATCCAGATTAGAGACGAATTTAGAGACCAATTCTGATTGCTGGAAAATCTATCATAAGAAAATCTGTCTCTAATTCTGTCACAAATTTTGTCTCTAAATTCTGTTTTAGGCTAGTTTACATTTTCTTGCAATTTTCTTTGTTTTAACACCATTGTAATAGCTTAGAGAGAGTATTAAGAAGCTGGTCAAATATATCTTAATCTCTATAGATCACTCACGTGTAGATCTAGTGGAAGTGGCTTGAAAATTTTATATGATTTCAAGTTTTCACTTAGGAAACTGACTAGCTTGTTAATCTTTATTCTTTGCTATTGTTTAATTTTTCTTTCATTGTTGTACTTAGTATATTCAATTAGCTTGTGTAGACTTAATTGTTCACGTTTAGATAGAATTCAAGAAAACTTTGGGGAAAAAAAATCATAAAGCATAAAAAATTTTGTAAAAAGTTTTGTGGAATTGAAGCTACATAAGGGGGTTTAGTAATTTTCACTTGAAAAAACTTGGTTATTAAGTGGTTCTTAGTAGCTCACCTCCCTTGATAGTACAATTTGTATACTTAGACCTCCAAGTGTTGGTTTTGTTCCTAGAAAATCCAAAAATTTATTTTCCTTTTGCATTGTATTTTACAAATTCTTGAAATTTAACCAATTGACTAGTTTGCATAAGATTTTCTTTTGGTTTTTTAAGCTTTCAAATTGCATGTTTTTCTTTTGTTTTTTTAAGCTTTCAAATTGCATGTTTTAATTTCAAGTTTCCTATTTGCTTGCTCATTGACGTTTAAGGAAAACAATTTCTAAGTTCCAAAGGCTTAGTGATGTTTAGAACCACATTTCACTAGCCAATTTTTTAGGAATTTTTGAATACTTTTTTTTGTTTAATCATGAGAAAACATTCAAGTGGTAGTGATTCAAGTTCTCTAAAAAGTTTTTCACATCCTACTCAAGAGCTTATGTCACTAAAACTTTGGACAAAGCAAGAAGTGTTAACAAGAGAAAAAGAAAAACTTGAAAGAGAAGCACGACTTGCAATTTTGGAGGAAGAAATTCGCATTATTAAACGAAAGGAAGAAAAACTTTTGACAAAAATAAAATTGAGAAAAGAAAAGGAAAAAGAAAGAAAAAAAATCATTTCTATTAGGGAAGAGTAAGGAGAAAAATATCTCCTCTAAAGGACTTATGAATGAAGAGAGTTGCTCTATCACTAAAATCCATTTGCAAAATACTCTCTTCCTACATAAAGACCTTAATTCTTGTCCTTATCTTACCACTAGTAATGAAGTAGAGATTCTAGAACAAAATATTTTAAAAGAAAAAGAATCCCAACTTCAAGATGTAGTGTAGGAATGTACTACACTTAGTTCTACTTCTTGTGCTACTTTCTTGGAGGTGCCCAAGGAAGTTAGCTCTCCTCTCTTTAGGATTCCTTTCACCTTAGTTGTTCTAATAAAGTACCCAAATTTTGGATTTTATTGTTTGATAGATAATGTCTTTATGTTTGATCTTAAGGGAAGTTCACATTCACTTGAACTTAATTTGACTACTTCTCTACAAAACAAATTTAGATTATGAGTCTTCAAGGCTCTTTTTGACACTTTCTTCTCATACATATTTAACAAATAATATGCTCCAAAATTGTTTAGGAAATTTTCTTGTAATATTTTCTTTATTCTCTAGGGCATGCCTAGGTCACTATTTAGGAAACCTTAGGCAAGATGTTTTAGTTTTTAGGAATAACTTTTTCAATTTTTATAGTCTTAATTTTATCACATTTTTAGGATTTAGTAACACTCATAAACTTTGCTTAAGAGAGGATCCTATCCCTACCTTTAGAGAGTCTAGTTTCATTAGTGTAAATTTCTTTGCTAGGATTTATAGCAGGATTCCTCTTAGGGTACAACCTTTATTTCCACCATTTGAACATATCACCTCTCATACATGGTACTTTGTGAATGTAGGTAATGATACCTATCATAGAAATCCTCGTGATTTGAGGACAAATCCTTTTCAAGAGGGAGGGAATGATGGAATCATGCCTAGGAGAACAAGAGGTGATAACTTGAAGGAACTAAGAGGAATGGGTTAGACATGAAAATTTGGGCCAGACAAAGCCCAATGGGCCCGATGGGCTTGGAAGGCCCAAGTTGCTCTTCACATGGGCCATAACTTATGATAGGCATTTTCTTCTATTTTGTATATATTATATTATTATAGGTTTCATATATTTTGGTCTTATATTTTGGACCACATAGAGTAATATTTTTGGGCCACAGGAGCCTAGTTTTGGGCTTCATGGGACTTTAGGCTTTTGGTACCCAATATTGGGCTCATTTTGTTTCTTTTATTATTTCCTAATGTTTGTATTTGGTTGACCATTGTATTTAGACCATTAACATAGGAATATTGAAAGAATACTAAAATAGGCCAAGAAGCTAAAATTTTGATTTCATTTGGTAGTCATTTAAGATGCATTTAGATCACATGTTTCTTGCCAAGCATGGCTGAACATGTGCACCTCCAAATACACTTCAAATGTCCCCTAAATGACATTTAAATGCATGGCATCCCCAAATTCACGGAATAACACATGGAGCCTTGAATTTGAATTCAAAATTTCCATTTGAATTTGAATTTTTGGTGCCAATTGTGGCTAATGAAGTTGGTGCCACCCAGCTTGCTTCTAGGATCTATAAATGTTTTTTCCTTCACTCTTTGTTAAAACTTTTAGCATAATTGAGAATTCTTCTAAATACATTTCAGATTTCTCTCCCCAAAGTCACCTAGGTTCTTAGTTTAGCTTTAGGAATCCTACACTTCTAAAGCCAAAAACTGTGAGCCTTCTTTTGCACTCCTAGCTTGAGTACTTCTATCTTATGCTTGGTTTATCCGAACCTAGCTTCCTTCATCTCCTTTCTTTCTAGAATTTTGGACTCAAAGATCAAGATCATTTACGACCAAGCAAGGAGGATTCAACATTTCATCTCACCTACTTGGCTCCATCATCATGTGTCAATACTCCACAACAAAATAGTATAGTTGAAAGGAAACATGGTCATTTATTAAACATAGCAAGAGCTCTCATGATGCAATCTCATTTGCCTAAAATTTGCTGGTCATATTCTATGATACATGTTGCCCACATTATAAACATGCTTCCCACACCTGTTTTAGATCATTTTTCTCCTCATGAAATGCTTTACAAAACTGAAGCAAATTTTAATAAATTAAAGGTGTTTGGATCTTTATGCTATGCTAGAACTTTGTCAACAAATAGAAGAAAATTTGATCCAAGGGCATCGAAATGTGTTTTTCTTGTTTTTAAAAGGGGAACAAAAGGATATGTTTTGTTAAATATTCAATCTAGAGAAATTTCTGTGTCTAAGGATGTTGTTTTTCGTGAACATTTTTTTTCCATATCAAAGGGTTCAGAATGCTAACAATGAAACTGATAGTCCTAACATTCATTATCAAAGTCCTTATACTGAAGATCAACCCATTTTGAGTTAACCATCACAAATCATTCTTGTACCCTGTGATAATTATGATAATAATAGTAATAATGACCATGAATATGACATTGAAGTTCTAGCAGAAGTATGTCCACAAATAGACCAAAACCTCAATGAAGACCATGATACAAAACAAAAATTTGGATCTCATGAGCTAGTTTGAATAAGTACCATAACAAAAAGGCCACCTGAGTATCTAAAGGATTACCATTGTAATCTTAATGTTTCCGATACATCTTCAAGAGTTAAATATCCTCTGAATTTTGTTTTGTCTTAAAATAAATTATCATCTGCTTACTCATCCTTTGTTATGTCTTTTTCTTCACATGTTGAGCCAAACACTTATTTTGAAGCTATAAAATATAACTGTTGGAGAAAGGCCATACAATGTGAGATATCTACTTTGGAGTCAAATCAAACATGAGAGGTTGCTCTTTTGCCTAATGACAAAGTTGCCATAGGTTGTAAATGGGTGTTCAAAATAAAATATAAGCCTAATGCGACCGTTGAAAGGCATAAGGCAAGACTAGTGACAAATGGGTACACCCAAATAGAAGATATAGACTACCTTGATACCTTTTCTCCAATAGAAAAGATGACAACTATAAGGTTGCTTCTTCCCCTAGCTTCTATCTATAACTAGGAATTGAAACAATTAGATATAAACAATTCCTTTTTACATGGAGAGTTGAAAGATGTATACATGGTTGCTCCTCCTGGATTGACTTCTATTCAACAAGGACAAGTTTGTAAATTACATAAGGCTTTGTATGGCCTTAAGCAAGCCAAACAGAGAGTGGTTTGCCAAATTATCATCTTTTTTGCTTTCCGTTGGATACACACAATCTATAAATGATCATTCCGTGTTCATTAATTCTTATGAAGGGTCTTTTACAACATTATTAGTGTATGTAGATGATATAATATAGGTAGGAAATGATAAAGAAGAGATTGATCGAATTAATCAAGCCTTGAATGAGACATTCAAGATCAAGGATCTTGGTGATTTGAGATATTTTCTTGGTCTTGAAGTATCAAGAAGCAAGAAAGGGATAATGGTGAATCAAAGGAAATATGCACTAGAATTACTAACAGATGCAGGTCTTTTAGCATGCAAACTTGCAATCACTCCAATTGATAATGTTTCCAAATTGTCTTCTACTAGAAGTGCATCTTTCACATATTTTCAAGCATACAGAAGATTGATTGAAAGGCTTATGTATCTCAATAATACTTAACCTAACATAACCTTTTCTATGCAGTAACTCTCTTAGTTTCTTGTTAAACCTACAATAGCTCATTATACTACAACAATTAGAATTCTCAAATATATTAAAGGAGCCCCAAGTCTTGGTTTGTTTTTCTCCTCTAGCAATTCTATTCATCTAAAAACCTTTTGTGATAGTGATTGGGGCACCTATAGTGATTCAAGACAATCAGTGTTTGGTTTTAGTGACTGGTTTTAGTGTGTATCTTGGGAATTCCCTTATATCTTGGAAATGAAAGAAGCAAGGCACTATGTACGATTTTTTGATCCAACTTCCATCACCTTGCATTGTGCACGAGACACCAATTTATAAGCATTAGATCTGATTGGAGTGGTCGTTCTAGTCACCGAAATGGGTCATTCTAAATTAGTCTATTATGGCCAAAATTTGAATTTGGAATGACCTGTTCTAAAAATGGAACGGCCCATTCCAGATTCTTATTTTACTCATAACAACCTGGGTCAAAATGGCTCATTCTGGATTTTGGAACGGCCTGTTCTAACCTAGGATTTATAAGCCTTTTTGATGATTTGGAACGGTTTGTTCCAATTTGGAAA